AGATAACCTGAGTTTACCTTATACAGACAGGTAGAATAATGGATTTTTTGTTCACCTTTTTTTGAAACGGATTCATTCACCACTTGCTTCAGATAGAATAATGGAATTTTTGTTCACCTTTTTTGAAACGGATTCATTCACCACTTGCTTCTGGTTTTTTTTGAAAGACGCCTTGTGAGTTTGAGCTGTTGAGGTTCTCAGGTGAGCAAGCAGAAACAAGAGAGGCTCCTCAAGCCGTGCCGGAGTTTATCGGGGCGTGAAGGAAGGTAAAAACCCATCACTGCAAAGGATAAAACTCACTCGGTTTATCTCTGGGCTCCTCCTCGTTTGTGGTCGAGAGGACAGGGTCTTCCCCACCCTCCGTACGCCACGTGGTTACTTGCGTGGGAGTTGCGCCTCTCGCGCTGTAAGAACAACATCCCGGCCCCGGCTGAGCAGCGGGTTGTTTGAGGACAATGTGGGACTTGTTTTCCTGCACACGTGTAGGAGAGCCTGGAGATTTCCCTGGGCTGGGCTGGGGTATCTAACTCTGGGATTAAATACTCGGAGTTTATGTAATGCCACACCAATGAGGAGGCTGAAAGGAGAGACCATGCGCATTTACAGTCCCAGAGAAGAGCGTTTACTCTGGTGTATAATAGCCTTCTGTTGGGTTTTAGTACCGTATAGTTTAGTAAATTAGGAGTCTTCAGGTACTTAGCACTTTAATGGTTCTCACTAAGAACATAATTAAACCATAGACCCCTTAGGGAGAAAAAACAGTTTATTGTGCATATTTTTAGAATCTGTTACCAGCCCTCATAAAACCTGGTAGATAGAAGCCAGAGAACATACATACCTTAGCTGGTGACCCAGAATTCATTCAGCAGCCCCCGCCGAGCGTCGCCCCGCAGTCGCACGTTACAAATCTGCCCCGTGAATTATGGAATTAATTTTCCCCAATCTGATTTCAAAACGCATTTGCAGCACAGTTTGTCTCCGGCTGCTGGAGGTGTGAGGGAGGCAGAAGGTTTATTATATGGCACCTTGTGCTGACACATAGAGACGGTTTTTGCTAATCGTTTTTTTATTTAAAAGCATTTTATGTTTCGCAGAGTTACCCAGAAACGGGGCTTGTTGGAGGCAAGGGCTCCGCTCTGTTCCTCTCACCATGTGTCTGACTTGAGCTTGTTGATTTGGTTGCGTGTGACTTGGAACTGCATTTCTCTGTGTCTGTGTGTGTCAGGAGTTTGCATTTCTCGAAGCGGGAGAACTCCTGGCTGCTTCCAGGATGCTTCTCCTCGTGAAGCAACCACGAAGCAAAGCGTAAAGCTCCAAATCCCCAGCGAAACAAGCAGGATGAAGTGATCCTGGAATGCTTTTCCCTCCTCTGGGGCTCTGATACTGCTGCCTCCGACGCCACCGTGGTATTTCCTAGGATGTGATTACACTGGGAAAGCACTAGGGATGCCTGTGTTGGGCAAGTTTCCTCTCTAGCCCTGGCGATGTGCCCTGGGTGCTCTCTCCCAGCCCCAGCTGGATGCTGCACAGCAGGACCCACGGGATGGGACATTGGGTGCCCCCAGCGCCCCTGGGCAGCGACCAACTCGGGTGCAGAAAGAGACCAGAAAGCTTTCCAGCATCACAGGTGCCTGTGTTCAGTGCTGCAGTGATTCACATGTTGCTCTGGGTCTTTGCTCTTGCCTCAACACCCCTTCCTGAGTAAACGGGACCCACGGGATGGGACATTTGGGTGCCCCCAGCACCCCTGGGCAGCGACCAACTTGGGTGCAGAAAGAGAGCAGAAAGTTTTCCAGCATCACAGGTGCCTGTGTTCAGTGCTGCAGTGATTCACATGTTGCTCTGGGTCTTTGCTCTTGCCTCAACACCCCTTCCTGAGTAAACACTGCTTGCTCCCCAGGAAACCTGTGCCGCGCTGCACCCGCGCTCCCAGCATCTGGAAGGCATTGGGAGGAACACACACACACACAGAGCACTCTCCTTCCCCGGCAGCCTTTTAACGAATTTCTGAGACATGCGAATCACTTCTCTATCGCTGTGTTTTGTCTTGCCTACTGGAGGTTTACGTGCCATAGAAGGGGCTTCAGCGGTGGGGAGGAAGGGTCCCTCACCGGTGGTGTCCCCAGAGGCTCCGTCACCAGCGCTGCTCTTCTCAAATGCATTTCTTTCCCTCTGTCAAAACAAATGCAACGCGTTACTTGTGGTATGTCTGCTGCTGTTTTTAGACTTTCGGTCTTGCTTGTCATTTGAGTTATCTTGCCTGTCACACAGCATTGCCCCCACTGACACCGTGATAGTGTCGGCGCTGATAAGGTGAGGGATGGCAATGCTGTAGCACCTGGGAGTCAATTATTAACCTGTGCCAGATTTCTGTGCTTCGCTTCTCCTTTTTTTTCCCCATTTGTACTTCACGGTGAGAATTAGGCTGCTGCTAAAAAGCGTAGACTGCAGAAGACCTGGCTTTGCCAGCCTGGGCTGTTCCCACGCGGGGCGTGCCAGATTTCTGTGCTTTGCTTCTCCTTTTTTCCCCATTTATACTTCAGGGTGAGAATTAGGCTGCTGCTAAAAAGCGTAGACTGCAGCAGACCTGGCTTTGCCAGCCTGGGCTGTTCCCACACGGGGCCGTACGTGGCTGGTGCACGAGCCCAAACTGAGAACTTTCTTCTGCTTCTTGTCCCGCTGCAGTGGGACTAATGGCAAGAATTTTATCTGACTTTACCTTAAGTACAGCAAATTGGGGGACGATATCTTGAGTCCCAGCCCAAAGCAACAAGCGGGATTTGCTGGCTGTGGTTGTCCATGGTGAGGGCATCAGCGTGAGCCTGTGATGGAGGGGAAGGGGATGGTGGAACCGAATGGCACATTCGATAGCTAAGGGTGATCTTTGCTTTAAAATTAAAACAGTGTCAGCCCAGCCCTGCAAAGCCACACTCAAATGGATAACTGCTCAGTGCCATCGCGTTATGAGATTTAATTATGTATTTAAGTAGATATGTAATTTTGTGTGTAATACTGCCTGTTCTCCGTGGTCCCCAGCAGTAAGTGCTCCGCGATGCACTGCTGATGGGGAAACAGCAGGGACTGCATCCCAAGAGGGGACAAGCAGGAGAACCACCTTTCTGCAGCTTTGATGTGCTGGAAAACAGCTCATCTTGGGCTGAGAGGGAGAGGAGGCTGAGGGGAGACCTCATTGCCCTCTACAACTATTTGAAAGGAGGTTGTAGAGAGGTGGGTGTTGGCCTCTTCTCCCGAGGGAATAATGGCAGGAGCAGAGGAAATGGTCCGGAGTTGCAGCAGGGGAGGTTTAGATTAGATATTAGGAAGAATTACTGTACTGAGAGGGTGGTCAGGCACTGGAACAGCCTGCCCAGGGAGGTGGTGGAGTCACCATCCCTAGAGGTATTTAAGAAATGTGTAGATGTGGCACTTCAGGGCATGCTCTAGTGCCTGAGATTGTTGGGTTTTTTTTGGGTGTGCATGGTTCGACTTGGTGATCTCAGAGGTCCTTTCCAACCATGATGATTCTGTGATTCTGTAAATGAAACAACCTCTAGGGCTCATATCTCATCTAGGTTGGGTTTGGTTAACGCACTTTAAAAAAAAAAAAAAGATAAATAGAAGAAGCCAGGAGAGCAACCTGCCTTTTTGGAAGGATAAAAGCATTTCTCAGCAATTTGGGATCAAGGTAAAAATAAAATTAAAAAAATCTCTTTGTGAGCCTCCCTGATGTTCTGGGAATGCTCAAGAGCAGTCCAACGAGCGAATTAACTCAAAACAGGTCCCGTGTGGAGGGGAAGGACCCTGGGTGGCACCTGGGGCTGCAGCAGCCCTGACCTCCCGCCCCGTGCCGGAGTGGACTTGGCAGAGCTCCTTGACCCCGACACCGCTCCATCCGGCGCCGATGTCCAAGGAAGGAAGGATGCGGTCTCTTGTCCTAAGGGGTTACAGCAGCCTCAAACCCATATAAAGCAACAACTTTATTAATCCCAGCTTTGCTAATAAGGAATTACAATAGTTGTGGGATTTGGCAGTGGAAGCTCGCTCAGTTGCCATGCATAGTACAGTATTTTCCCTGTTTTGTTTGTATTTTTGATTTAACTACAAATAATTTAAAGATGTGTTGTGTCTCCTTCAATTAAAATTTGTGTCTTCATACTCTTTTTATTTTTTGTCACAGTTTTAAAACAATACCAATGAATTTGAGTTTGTCAGATATGCTAAGATAAATTAACTTCTTTCTTCTTTCTTAAATTCCAGCATTTCTAAGGGTGGCAGTTATTATCATATCAGGGTTTGGTTTTGTTTCCTGTGTAAAATTCGCAGCTTTATTGTAGTGGATGGAAGATCTGCCAGTGTCAAAAAATTTCAGGCTGATAGAAGAATAATATTGTCACAAGGCCAGTATGTAAATACCTTAAACCAATATAGCATGTTTAGAGGAATTACACTTTCCTCTCCCAAATTGCAATTTTGGAAAGCAACTCTACCACCACATTTATTTCAAATTTAAACATTTTGAAAGAATATCTCCTAGGTTTTGAAATCTGGTTTCCATTCCTGGCTCTGTTTGACCTGCTGTGTGACCCTGAGAAAATCTTTTTCTCTGTTTCTGTATCTGCTTAGTTGCTCTGATGATCTTCAGCGCTCATGCAGAGCAACTTAACATCCGTTGGTGTCGAGCTATGTCTAACATTTCAGTATTGAATAACAGTGGTTTTCATTTAAGATGAGTGAGTTTTGGTTATGATGAAAAAAGAGAAAATTAAAACTCTCGTTTTTTAAGAGAGGCATTGGTTTAAAAATTCCTTGGGTTTGCATGAAAAAAAAAAATTGAATTAAGTCATTTTCTCTAAAAAGAAATGAGTGCCCAGAGTCAAAAGACAGTTCTGCTGTGAGCAAACTTGGGGAAAGAAATAAGGAAAAAGGCCACGAGCTCTGTAGCTCCCCTCAATGATGAGCCTTGAAGGGGGGATTGATTCTTTCTTTCTTCTGTCTTTCAGACCCAGCCAGTGCCCAACCCCATCGCCTACTTCATGCATCGCTCGCCGTGGTGGTTTCATCAGTTCGAGACCCTGGTCAATCACTTCATCGAGCTGGTGGTGCCATTCTTTCTCTTCCTGGGACGGCGGATGTGCATCCTACACGGCCTCTTGCAGATCCTCTTCCAGGTGAGATGCTCCTGGGTTTGCTTCCGAAGGGTCATGTCTTCGCCTGGAATGAGCAGGGGATGTTCAAAGGGTGTAAAATCCCTGCGGTAGGGAGCTGTAGGGAGGGCTGGGACCTGGGTCACCAAAATGCAGATATACATTCCTCGTGCTGGCTCCTGTAGCAAGGACATGGCCGTGTGTGAGCCCATCTTCTCCGAGCAGGAGCAGCATCCAGAGGAACTGACTCAAGTAGCAGGTCAAGAGTTCAGGCTCAAGTGAATCAAGATGATTCACAGCTATTAACTGTTGGCTCTTGGGTGGTTCGCGCTGGCGTGGCTGCTCTCAGTGTGTTGCTGGAGGTTTGTTTCCCTTCCTGCTGGTTTGTCCATTCATATGGACGGCAGAGAAATGGCAGCCCAGGACTAGTGCAAAGGGTCTGATCCTGCGGCTGCAAATGGCTGAGTTGAATACTTGCAGTTTCTCCAAAAGTTAATATCTCCAAAAGTCAATATCTTTTACCCTTTGAAGGATTTTGGTTTTTGTAGTTAAGGTTCAAGGACTGTTCAGAATGTCTGAGCTGTTTTTTTACAACCATCAGATCTACTGAGCCTAGGTTCATAGTGAAAATAATTACTTCAGAAAATAATGGCACACGCATTCCAGTTGATTTTGTTGGGGGGTTTTGTGTACATGAAATAAATAAAAGTGTGCAAAAGTCAGAGGATGGAAGCTCCTGCATATATACTTCCCTGGACCACATCTGATTTCTCTTGTCTCTGCCCTGGCATAATTCAAACAGCTCATTAAACCCCAGCCACTCTGACTTGAAGTGCAGCTCTCAGCCCTTGCGTGCTTGTTTGATATCATTTCAGCATCATGAAATTCGTACTCGGTAGCTCTTACTGCTTCCTGTAAATACGTGTGATGGTTAAACTGGAGAACAGCTTATAAATTCTATTGGTAAACCACAAAAATGCTGATCAGATTTTAAAGGGTTGACATAACAGCCGCGGGATTTGTGCCCTCACAGGGATGCCCGCTCCTTCTCCTGCTTCCGAAACGCGTCCCGTTGTGTCTGGGTACTGCCAAACACACATCTGATACCTCTGGCTGCCCAGCACACCTTTTGGCATCAGGTTTGGTTTTGTTAGGATGGATCTTCTCAGGCTGGAGGTCCCAGCAGTGTGGAAAAAAAGATCTGACCCAAAGAGGTCTCGGGGCATTGCTCCATGAGGTGCCAGTTGTGTTTGCGATGGGTGTCCCACCTGAGGTTTTCAGTGTCACTGGGAGGATTATATTCAGCCCAACCCTAAAAAAACCTGCTCTTTTGTCTCATGGACAAAGCAAAATATCCCTTCTCTGTTGGCTGTTTGTTGCAGAAGCAGGTGGGTGTTGAGACGTGGTGGAGATCAAATTAGTAAGCAGGAATTGCGAGTAGAAATGCTTTTGTTTGTAAAGAAGTGTAGGGCGAATAGCGATGGCTCTTTCTAAGGTGAGTAGACCAGTGTGGAAAAAAAGATCTGACCCAAAGAGGTCTCGGGGCATTGCTCCATGAGGTGCCAGTTGTGTTTGCGATGGGTGTCCCACCTGAGGTTTTCAGTGTCACTGGGAGGATTATATTCAGCCCAACCCTAAAAAAACCTGCTCTTTTGTCTCATGGACAAAGCAAAATATCCCTTCTCTGTTGGCTGTTTGTTGCAGAAGCAGGTGGGTGTTGAAACGTGGTGGAGATCAAATCAGCAAGCAGGAATTGTTAGTAGAAATGCTTTTGTTTGTAAAGAAGCGTAGGGAGGATAGCGATGGCTCTTTCTAAGGTGAGTAGACCCAGAAAGGAGTGGAACACACCAGGGAAAGTGGCCTGTCAGAAAACAAAGCACATTGCCAAATTCCAGGCACAACTGCCACATCTCGGGGCAGAGCTGCCGTGCTCTGCTCACTTCTGCCTTGGCAGAAAAATAAAAGCGTGATGGACTGAGATGGTGATGCTTTGTCTTCACATCTCGGCCAGGAGAAACTTCCATGACCAAAAAGCTGGGTCAAATGCTCCTCTCTCATCCCCTTCTGGGTTTCTCTGTCTTTGCTGTGCTCCTGGGCTGGGGCTGAGATGGAGCATGGGGGGGATGCCCCCCGAGCCCCCGGCCAGGGCTCTCTGGCTGGTACATGCCTCTGGCCTCTTCCATGGGCCCCTAACGAGCAGCACAGCTCTTTGTGTGCTGGGGGACTTCAGACGGAGCCAGTGGGATCTGAAAAAGCCAACTACATACAATAAAGGCTCATAATGACATATTGTAAATGCATGCATCTAACCACCCTTTAATTGGCGCTTTATTGATAGTTTGCAATTACTGACTTATTTCTATCATGAGGGGAGTCTGCAAAGGAAAAAAGGGTCCCAGTGTAAAATGCAGCTCTGGTGCATTTATAGCATTTCAACAAAAACCTGTTTATTTAATATTTACTGCCCTTTTCTTCATTCAGAATGACTTTTATTGACAATACTTCTGCTCTGCAAAGGAAGCAATAAAGTTTAATGTTGATATACCACTTAATTCTGCTTTTCAAGATTTGAATTGACATTACATGCAAGTTTTATTGGACATTTTATAATTGTTATTGGAGTCATGGTGGCTAGGTTGAGCGAGTGTATTTTTCCAGATTCCAACTGGCCTGGAGAATATTGCTTTGTCAGGAACCCGAAAAAAAAAAGTTGTGCTTTAAAGAAAAAAGTCTTTTTTTTTTTTTTTTTTTTTTTTCCAAGTGTGAACTTAACTCTTCTTGCCTAGTTCTCGTTTGTAAGGAAAAAGGCTTAGTGATGTTGGAAACGTCAGAGAGGAGGGGCTCGGCAGCCCGGCGTCTCGGCGGAGCAGAGAGCGCGTGGGGAGGATGGATGTCTGTCCCCCAGCAGATTCCAGTGGGGTTGTGCTGGTCGTGCTGGTCATGCTGTAGGCAGATTGGGCTGGCCCTGGGGTGCCGCTCTTCTTGCCTAGTTCTCGTTTGTAAGGAAAAAGGCTTAGTGATGTTGGAAACGTCAGAGAGGAGGGGCTCGGCAGCCCGGCGTCTCGGCGGAGCAGAGAGCGCGTGGGGAGGATGGATGTCTGTCCCCCAGCAGATTCCAGTGGGGTTGTGCTGGTCATGCTGGTCATGCTGGTCATGCCGTAGGCAGATTGGGCTGGCCCTGGGGTGCCGGACCATCCTGGGCCACCTACTGTGCGTGGAGATTTGGGTGATGACAACTGAAACACACACTGTGTAGGCGCATCTCTGCACTGTCCCCTCCCCACTTTCATCCACCCACCCGTGTCCTCACAAGACCTGCAGTGGAGAGCCCGAGGAGCTGGGACACCCCATGGGTTTGGTGCTTTGCGTGCGTTGATGTTGCCGTGATCTCAGTTTGGGGTCTGCCCGCTCTGACACGAGTCCCCGTAGCTTGAGCTTCCAGAAATCTCCCCCTTTGGCTGCTTTTTGATCTCGAATTAATCAAAGAGTCATACTTAATGTAAGTCTCTTGATATAAATAGTCTTTGCTTTTTAAAAAAAAAAAAAAAATCAAGGAGTGAGTTGAACGCTGGCCAGTTCCCATTAGAAAAATCATTCTTCATTGTCAGTAACCGCCAGATTGGGGAGGGCTTTGTGATGTACAGCTGTGGGTGTAGTTTTTGCAGGACATCTGCACACAGAGAGATTCTCAATCAGATCGCAGCGCCCAGAGCACGTTTGCCAGGATCAAAGGTGAGTGGAGAAAAAATGTCATCCAAGGTTTTACAGCCAGGCCCCGTCAGCCGCTCGTCCCCCTGGGCAGGCTGCGGAAGAGCTCCCCAGCCTCCAGCCCAGCTGCTCGCAGTCCTGGCCAGGGGCTCAGGGCTGGGGACTGTCCCCACGGTGTGTCATGGGGTCCCACCAGGCTTCCCATCTCATCCACGCCAGGGACAGTGAGAGTGGGTACGTGTTCTCCACAGCGGTGACTCCCTGCTCCTGAGAGGGAGGTTTGAATGGGCTGAGCTGACCTTCTTATTAATTGCTGCATGAAACCCTGATCCTGAGGAAGCTGTTCACACTGAAAAGATGGCCATGGAGGGGGAAGCTCTGGGACATGGAGCCTCCAAGGCTGAGGAGCCTCTCTTGGCCAGTGCAGCCAACAGGCAGGTTTATGCTCAGCAGGACCAAACAGCTTGACTGTGCCCATCTTACTTTCTCTCATCACACGTGTCCCAAAAGCCAAGACTCCCACGCTCCCATCTGCACAGGTTGACGTTACCCCATGAGCTTTTTTTCTTCCTCCATTGTTTGCTGGGATTCAAACCCCTTGAGTTTCTGAGACCCAAACTATTGCATCAACTCACCCCACCTGCAAGGGAGCCTGCTAAAAAGATCTCAGCCAGCGTGAAAGCATTAGCAGGTGATGGTGGCAAAGCCTTCTCTTTAGACAGTCTGTGCTGAGAGCATCCTTTTGCATTTAGAAAGAAATCTTAGATGAAGGGCAGCCAATTATAGAGGATATCCAAGGTAAATATGCAGCATTGTTTCAAAAAAACATTCTTTCTAGCATGTACGGTACATAGAAATCCAAATCTAAAACAGAAATTAAAGTAAATGAACATTTAACTTTTCAGCTTTGTTAGGGATTTATTGTAAGCAGGTGCCAGATTTGACGTGCCGAGCGGCACTGCTGCAAATTGTCTCTGCCAGGAATAAAGCTGGAGGAGGGACTTGTAACTCGTCTCCTTCCCTGCTCTGCTCTGTGCTACAGCCCTGTAAAAACAGGCTGGTGAGAAATGGCCAGTCTGAGCCATAGAGACCTCCAAATAAGCCTGAGGTGGAGTTTGCCCTTTGCTCATGTTTATCCAAGAGTCCTTAGAGTTTTTGAGAGTTTGCTAAACGTTGAAAGCTTTTTCCTACCGCTTATTGTCATCCTTCCTGGGGTGCAAAGGGACCTTTTGTAGCTGTCATGTAGAGGCAGGACTGTGTTCACCAACGTGCTTGTGTCTGGAGCAGGGACGTGGTTTGAACTTCCAGCTCTGTGG